AAAACAAAAAAAAAAAAAAAAAAAAAAAAAAAAAAAAAAAAAAAAAAAAAAAAAAAACCAAAAAAAAAAAAAACAAAAAAAAAAACACCCTAAAAATGTTTTTTTAAAAAATATATACAGCTTGAGTTGGGGATTTAGCTCAGTGGTTCTACCATCTGCCTCATAAGCGCAAGGACCCAACTTCAATCCCCAGTACAAAATAAACAATACACACACACACACACACACACACACACACAGAGCTTGTGCCATCAAACACTCCCAGCAAAGCTGGTACTATTCACAGGGGTTTGGAAAAGTCCTTGCTACACAGAACCATGAGGCTGACTCTTTGGTGTGAATACCACACGTGCACCACCCAGGACCCCAATCATGTCTGCGCCCCTTCACCCCAGCCATCTGCTCACCTTGATGTCACGGTACACAACATCCCGTGAGTGCAAGTACTCGAGAGCCGAGACGATCTCTGCACCATAAAACCGGGCCCGATCCTCTGTGAAGACTCGCTCCCGGGACAGGTGGAAGAAGAGCTGCAGGGAAGGTGGGAAGAGGTCAGACCCCTGCCCCTCAGGCCATGCACCCTGCCAACAGTTCTGTGACATAGCACCATGGGAACCAAGTAAGGGACAGTGAGTTGGGAAGAGTCACAGGAAGGAAGAGAAAAGAACAGGGGATAAAGAGTGACAACAACCAGTATATGCTAATGAGAGGATCTGGGGGACAGGATGAAGGGACAGGTGAAGGAGAGAGTGACACTAGGAAAGCAAGGAGAAACACAAGTCATAAGCAAGGGACAATGAACTGTGAGCAAGACCAAATCACATGAAGCAGAGCCAGACCACTAAGTCTATCTACATGCAGAGAAGGGGGTGAGGGTCAAGGGGATGACAAGGGGACAGGGGCACATTTATCTGTACAAGGAGGGGGAGGACCCAGGGATCAGAGGGCTGGTAGACTTTAATCCTCGTGTGCTTTCTTCAGAGTCTGCAGGAACATCCTTCTGCCCAGTCACCTAAGCACCCCACAGCCTCTCTCCATGCCTTTCTGGACCTGGTTTGGATCCTCCCTTCAACAACTTATTCACTAGCTGTGTGAGCCTGGCAAGCCACTTAGCCTCCTGAGTCTCAGTTCTTCCACCTATGAAATAGCGACGGTGGCACCTGCTTAGAGAGCAGGACAGGGCTGGGACTTGATGACATTCACTGTCATGGCTGTCTAGATGTCCCCGCACAGCCTCACGCAGTCAGAGGTGGGGCTTTTTCAGAGGTGACTAGATCTACAGTGTGTGACACTGGGATTGATTCATGGTGCAACGCTAGGCTCAATGGCACTGGGATTAAGGGTGTGAGTGGTACCCGCCCTAAACAGCTTGGATAAAATATAGGAGATAGGAAGAGCTGTGGTTGGCCCTTGTTACCCTGCTACCTCCTGCCCACTATAAACTGTTTCTCTTCTGCAATGCCACCCTACCTTGGAGCCAGCCGATTATGGACCGAAACCTCTACAAACTGTGAGCTAAATAAACCTTTCCCCCTGTAACATTGAGTGCTGGGTATTTTGTCTCAGCAATGAGAGAAAATTAACTAAGACATTCACTAAGCCTCCCTCCAGCCTGTCCATTGAAGACAGTTCCCTTCCCCCATAAAGAAACACCCAGAAAGCCAGGCCAGGTGGCTACAGCTCACCTCCCCGCCATTGGCGTACTCCATCACAAAGCACAGGCGGTCGTGGGTCTGGAAGGCATACTTCAGTGCCTATAGAACAAGGGCAGGAGGACATGGGTCAGACGCAGGGAAGGGAAAGGCTCTGCACACAGATTCTGCACACAGACACCCCTACTCCCCACTCCAGCCAGGAGCCTTGGGAGTGCAGCAGATGGGTTCAACTTCCAGGCACAGCTGAGGAGAGAACTATGATTTCTCATTTTAACAGTAAAATATAATAAATGCTGTCTTCTGAGCGCAGGTGTACACACACACACACACACACACACACACCCCACACGCTGTGGCAATCAATGGTTTAAGAAGCTGATTTCAAGACAGGACAGACAAAATGTCAACCAACAAAGAGTAGTTTAGGGCCAGGGATTTAGCTCAGTGCCACTGAGCTTGCCTTGCAAGTGCAAGAAGTCCTGAGTTCAAGCCCTGTGCCAAAAAAAAAAAAACCTGCCACCAGAAAGAGTAGTTTAGTTCCCAAACTGTGCTCTAGGGAGTATTCAGAGGCCCCCTGGGAAACCCCTGTCACAACTCTACAGTACCTTGTACTACACCTGAGGTACCCTGGTAGATCTCATGTGAACAAATGTTATGGCTTTGTAGGGTACCTGGTCAGCAACTGAACTAAGGAAATGGCACATACAGCTGGGCCTGGTGGTACAAACCTGTAATCCCAACAACTTGTGAGGCAGAAGAAAAAGGAACTTAAGTTTTAGACCACACTGGAAAACTTAGCAAGTCTCAGGAAAAAACAACAACAACAACAAAAAAAAAAACCCTGAAAGGACTGAGGATGTCGCTCAGCCAAAGGCTCTGGATTCTAAAAAAAAAAAAAAAAAAGCGCACATAAGCTACCCTCAATCTAGCCCACAAAACTGACAGCCACCAGCCCTGGAGACAGTAGCCCAGAAAATACTCCAAAGAGGTATCCACCTGGCCTAAGGTGACAGGAAACACAACAGCATGTTACGGTACTTTAAAATCAAAACAAAACAGGGCTGGGGATTTAGCTCAGTGGCACCACACTTGCCTCACATGTGCAAAGTCCTGAGTTCAATCCCCAGTACCAAAATAATAATAATAATTAATTAATTAATTGAAATTAAGACAAAAATATACTCCCACTTGGCCAAGCTGGGCTAAGCACCCCTCATTCACAGAGACAGCAGCTACGCTCTCCTGGGGCTGTCTTGCCAGGTGATCTCTTGGGTCCCTTATGGTGCCTACATGAAGCCACTGTCTAAGAAGACGATACCACCCCAGTGCTTGATTCAGGCCATGTGGGGAGGCAGTGGCAGCCTACCTTGTCCACCTGACCTGTAACAAGGCTGTGCTCTTTCCCCGAATTCTGCCCAAGTGTGCTGGCCTGAAGTGAAGGCCCCCCAATTGCCTGAAAAGGTCAGTGCAACTCACAGTGAGGAAGGGATGCCTGGTGTTCTGGAGGACCCGACTCTCGGTGACTGTGTGAGCAACTTCATCCTGCAAACAGAGTGTGAGTGAGTGGCCAGGGTAACACCACGTCTACCTGTCTCACACCGCCAGTTTTAACAAAGAAAGGGGAGCGAGAACTTGGGGAAATGCAATTCCATTATAAAAGCAAAAGGAATGACAGGAATATGATAGGGCCATTTACAAGCTCTAACTAAATAATGAACCCAGACAAGGTAATCAGTGGCTTGCTTAAAATCACAAGGTGAAAAGCCAATGCGGGACTTTACAATGGAAGGATGAGGGCTGCTTCCCCTAAACCCAAGCTAACTACAACATTCTGCTATGATCTGGATTTTGAACCTCTCCGAAAGGCTCATGGGTCGATGACTTGGTCCCTGGCCTGTGGCACAACTGGTAGGTGATGGAACTTTTAGGAGGTAAAGTCTAGTAGAAGCAAGGTAGGTCACTGAGAGTGTGCCTTCAAAGGGGTACTGGGACCCCCAGCCTTGCTTCCGGCTGCCAAAAGGTGACAGGTCTTCTCTGCAAGCGCCCCACCACGATGTACTGTGCCAACATGGGACACAGGAGCTAAGCAAAAGAGCTAAAGCCAGTGAGCTAAGCCTCATGGCTTGGAATCTCTAAAGCTGTGAGTCAAAATAAACTGTTCATCCTTTTCAGTTTATCTCAGTTATTCTGTCACAACGATGAAAAGCTGGCTAGCGGGCATCCCTACAGAGAGAACAAGCAGACATTATGATGCCACAGAGGGTGTGGGGATCGGCAGCTATGAAGTGTTCTTGCCCAAAGAAGGAACTGGATCTAATCAAGGCTCTAGAGTAGAGCAGTGCTTCTCAGGGCTGTGGTCCTCACATAGGCTGCATCAGCAGGGCCTGGGAACTTGGAGAAATGCAAATTCTCAGGCCCCACCCCAGCTTCACTGAGCAGAAACTGGGGGTGGAGGGACGGGGGACATCCCTGCCTCACAAGCCCTCCGGGTGACTTGAACACAAGGCTAACATCGGGTCTGACCAAGAGCAGGCACCAGGAGAGCTTCCAAACTGCAGCCACCTGTGGCTAGCTGGACACTGGCTCTTCCCTGGGCACATCTATCCCAGGGGATGTCGAAAGTCATTTTTTTATTATCACAACTGGTGGGCGCTGGTAAACCTCTCCGAATGCACAGGACAGCCCCTCTCCCCATGAAGAATGACGTGGTACTGAGGCTCACAAGCCCTTCCTAGATCAATTATATCAGGAACTAATAACAGTTTCTTTTTTTGGATATGATCACAGCACTGTATATTTTTTAAAATCTTCATCCATTAAGGTACATTTTTAAGTATGTATGGGTGAAATAAAACGATATACAAAATAGTCCTTAAAACACTGCACAACAGAAAAAGGGAGAGGGCAGAGCTAATGAAACAAGACTGAACTGCTTTAACAGAATGATTGTTACATGGCAGTCTATTTTATTTTTCTTCTTAAAATTTTGTGTATGTTTGAAATTTCTGACTCCAGTACCTTTAAATAACACACACACACACACAAAAAAAAATTCCTCTTATGACCCAGCTTCCAACAGCCTCCCTAGGTCCTTTATCAAGGCAAGAGGCCTCCTACAGACCTGACAGCACCTCCTGTGTAAGGCCCACACATTTTTCATGGCCAGAGGTAGAGTGTGAGATTTGGGCCAACTCCCCTCTGGGCTCAGTTTCTCTCTGACTGGGGACCTAGTTCCAGGCAACAGGGTAAAGAAGCCTTATAGCAGTGGAAGGCCGTGGGGACACAATTCCAGCCCTACAAGAGCTCCCAAGTATTGTCCCCCAACAGACCGTGGCTCCTGTTAAATCAGGAGGGCAGGGCGGGGGGTAGCTCGGTGGTCAAGCATAATGATTCCCGTGTACCAGGATCTGGATTCCACCCCCAACACCATATAAACAAAGAAGCAGCTAGACCCTAAAACAGAGCAGTTTTTCCCAAAAATAGGAAAGTCCAGTCTACCTGAGTCAGTGTGATAAGGAAGCCTCCTCTGCTTTAATTCTTGCAAAGGGTAACCTGAAGTAACCTCATGTTAACCAATTAGCTTTTTTCCCCCTTTCTGCCACCTTACAAAACCCACTGTCTACCACTGTCCAGTGGAAACTTTCATTCTGTTGTGCAGAATGGAGTCTGCCCCAATTCATGAATCACAAATAAAAGCCAATTAGATCTAAAACAAAATTTGTGTCTTCTGACAGCCCCGAAGAAGCAAGTGCATGGCAGTCCTCAGAGCATTCACCTTGGCAATGATGACTTCCTTCCGCAGGATCTTCATGGCATAGTAGCGGCCAGTGGCCTTTTCTCGCACTAGGATGACTTTGCCAAAGGTGCCCTTGCCGAGGAGTTTGAGATAATCAAAGTCATTCATGGTCTGTGGGGTGGAGAGAGAGCAGGGTCAGTCAGTGCTGGCATGTGGCCCATGGGAGGAAGTTTTAACAAAGGAAGAAGAAAACCAAAAGACGCTGTTGCCCTGGCAGAGGCTCGAGTGGGAGGGAGCTCTGGGCAGCAACTGTCCTGAGCAGCCTGCAGGCCCAGGCTCTCCCAAGCACAGGCCTTGGATGCAGAGCCTTGGAGCTCTACATGTGGGGAGAGCTGGGTGTTCACAACTGCTTAAGAAGCCATAGGAGTTCTACCCAGGGTGTCCCTTTCCCCATGGCACAAAGCAGCCCGTGAAAACCAGCCCATCCCACAGGACACTGCAGTCGCTGGATGAATTCCTGCACACTTTGAATAGTTTTTTGAGACAGGGTCTCACTATGTAGTTGAGACTGACCTGGAACTCACTATGTAGTCCAGGCTGGTCAAACTCAAAGTTTCCTGCACACTTTGAATAGTTTTTTGAGACAGGGTCTCACTATGTAGTTGAGACTGACCTGGAACTCACTATGTAGTCCAGGCTGGTCTCAAACTCAAAGTGATCCTCCTGCCTCAGCTTCCCGAGTGCTGGGATTACAGGCGTGCGCCACCACACCCGGCTCCCCTGCACACTTTGTATGGAACCAAGGGAGACGAGATGAGCACAGCCCCAGCCCCTGCCAATGACCCCCTACTTACCACTTTGGCCCGTGCTTTGCTGACTGCCACTTCCATCTCCTCGGCCGTGGAAGAGTCACTTGGGGAGCCACACTTGTAGTCCATGGGATCCTCACCAGGGACTCGCTGCTTGAGGCTGTTGGCGACCATCTGGATGGCCCGCATCCACTCCTCCCTGTGTGGTGACACACTTGAGTCCCTGGCCTCAGGGCTGGCAGGGCTGAAGGTTGCTTCCCAGATGAGCCACATGCTCTCCAATGGGATAGCAGACACCACACCCCCCTCTGGGGGCTTTGGGGAGCACTGACTGAGCCAGGCAGAGCTGATGGGCCCTGACACTTTATAGGCCTCTGGCTTGGAGCGAGGGACATGGACTAGAGAGGGATCATCCATTTCCCACGAGTGGCCTGACATGAGGGCCCCTTGAAGCCAAGCAGCGCTGAAACATCAAAGGAGGAGGTTGCTTTTGTTTGAGCCTTGAATAAGGGAGGGCCAGGGCTCCTCTAACTCCTCCAGAACAAATAGCCAGTTCAAGTTTACAAGTCACTAATGTCTATAAAGGAAAACCAAAAGTAAAAGAGAGCACCCAAGAGCCGAAGCCATAGCAGTGTAAGGCCAGAGCTGGCCAGCAGGACCCTCTGAAGGGGATGGATGGTCTGCTGACAGGCCCTGGGCACACCCAGGCAGAGCAGTGTTACAAGCTGCTGGGAAAGAACTTTTTTCAATACCTGCAAACTTTCTTTCTCTCTAGTAAGTGCAAAGGAACAGAGACAAAAAGAAAAAAATATTAGGCTGAATGGCTGTCCACATCCCCTCATTTCTGACTTATCAGTTAGCAACTGTAGGTGGTTCAACACAATGCATTTGAGCAGCTGCGTACTGTGCTTATATCTAAAAAAAAACATGACTAGTGGGAAAAAGAAAGTATGTTCACTGAGGATGAGACAATTCAAAGAGTGAGTAAGCAGGCAACTTCCCAGATCCCAGTGATTGAAATAAGCTGCAATGAGTGCAGCGAGTAGGAGCAGAAAAGCAAGAGCAAGCTGAGCCCATCACACGCATCTTCCAGAACTGCCCTTGCAGCAAGTGTTGCAGCTCTGGTGCTACCCAGGCACTGAGGCCCCTGCCCACGGCCCTGGGGCACAAGTGGAGAGATTGGGCCTACAGCCTGAGCTTCTGCCTCAGATCGCTTCCCTGGGTGGCAAGCAGGACCGCTTCTATCCCCACCAGTCCGGTAGCACACATTTTCCCACATTTTGACCCTGGTGCATGCAGTCACATCTTGGAGTTAACAGTCTGTCACCATCTAACTGTGTGCTGCTATCTCTTGGTATTACATAAAGCATGTCTTCCAGATGGTGGCATCTTAGACACAATGGAGCATGCCAGCCACGCCTCACGTAGGATCTTTGGAGGATGGCAAGACTGCACGGGAAGCACCTAGGCAGTGAGACTCTGCGGCTGAGAGAGAGGACGGTCTGAGTGAGGGCTGTCTAGAGATCACACCAAGAAAGGGGAGCGCAGAATGGTGTGGAGTTCTGCACTATCACTTAGAAAATAAAGACTTTCTGCTCACACATGCTCACATAAACACAAGTATCCTGAGTGAGCACTCAGGACTCTGGAGCTCGGACGTCCAAGGAGAGGAACCAGGAGCGAGAGGCCCAGAAGAGGCATCTAATAAACCAGAGCACTCACTCTTATGAGCCACTCCTGTACCGCCTCACTGCAAAGGGGCAAACTGAGACACGCATTTAAAAAGCAAACGCAAGAAAAAATACAGTAGTTGCCCCAAGCCTAAGAACCAGACTCACAAAAGGCCAACTGGCTCCTCCAGGGCAAAGCTGCTGCTGCTCAGCTCTGGGGTTTGCTGAACCAAGCAAGAACTAAGCTCAAAGGGCCCCAGTAAGGCACAAGGGTTCCGTTTTCTCAAACTGGCCTCACTCACACATTCTTCTGTGCTGCTTTGTAAGAGATACACAATGTCACACCATGTTTCACAGGATAGATGCAGCCAGGGCTGATATTCCACCCCTTCCCACCATGCAGGCTAGGGGCCCCACAGCCTACGGGTCAGCCCTCAGGGCAGGGATATGCATCTGCTTTGAATGTGGTGCATCCCCAGTACTGAACTGAGTGCTCCCTAAGTATCTATGTAACCACTAAGTGAGGCAGCCCTGGGGCACAGTGAGGCCAGTACATGCTCAGGCAAAGCAGGCTTGGCCTCTTTCCTCCCTGACCTGATGCCTCCAGCCAGTATTTCTCAACTGGCTTTAACCCGTACCCCCTTTGGAATAAGTTGCAGCCTAAAACCCAATCCCTACGTTAACATTTTTCCAAAAAGGTTGGGGGTAGGGTAGAAACACAGCCCATGATATGCTTATCAACCACAACTGTCCTCTCTTAGAAAGTTTAAAATGTTGGCTTCACTGGATGTGGTGGCACGTCTGAAATACCAGCACTAGGGAGGCTGAGGCAGGAGGATCGCTGTGTGATTGAGGCCAGCCTGGGCTACATATTGAGTTCAAGGCCAGTCAAAAACTACATAACCCTGTCTCCAAACAACCAAAAATAAGTAAATAAAATAAAATGTTGATTTTGAGTGTTAAGATAGGAGATTGAAAAAGAAAATCACAGATCTTCTAAAAAGTAGAGAGATTTTGAGACTGTCCCCTGGAGCAGGGCCAGGAGCACTCCTTCCAGCTGGCTCCCCACGCTGCACAATGGGGCTGCTGGGCTGGACCCAGAAAGCTCTCACCTCATGGAAGGTGTTTTGAGGACAAAGGGAGGCCCAGGGGTCCTTTGGGCTCTCCTGAAGCCTGCCCAGCCACATGTCCAGGTCCAAATGGACCAAGGTTGAATGGTTGCAGAACTCAGAATCCAGAGTAAAAGCAAAGGCCCCTGTCCAGGACATTTGTCAAGGGTTTGCAACACAGTGTCTGGGGCAGAGGAGAGATCCCACCCAAAGGAGACCCCCAGGGAAACCTGCCTACTTCCTAGCCACAAAACAGCTAGAGAAAAGCAGTAAATGGCCAGCTCCACAGCCACCACTTCCTTGGGTTCTCAAGAACATGGGGAGGAGATGCTGACATGAAGACCGAGGCATACAGAGGCAGAGTCACTGTGGCAGTCACCCAGCCACGGCAGGGCTGAGACTCGTGTCTAGGACACCCTGTCCCTCGCTGGTGCCATACCACCTTTCCCTGGGCCAGTGGTCCAGAGGACCTAGACAGGATCAAGAGGCTCAAGTGGCGGTACCCTCAAGAAGGTTCACGCAGCAAGGGACATCATGCCATGGAGCCCAGGGCCAAAGTAGAAGGACACCACCCCTCACAGCTGTGACCTGGACCACTTTCCAGACAGGACCTCCCCCAGCAAATACCACCACCGACACCCACCTACAGAGAAAGTCACTGTTGTGCTGTGTGTGAACTAATAATGCCTTTAATCCTCCCAACCACCAAGGCAGTAGATACTGTTAACGTCATTTTATAAATGGGACACCTGGGCCAGGGTTTTAGCCCAGTGGTGCCACCACCTGCCTGAGAAGTGCATGGACCCGAGTTTGATCGCCAGTACCGCCACCACAAAAACTATACATATAAATGGGAAGACTGAGACACAGGGAGGCTGACATTTGCTCACAGACACAGACAGCAAGCAGAGGCCCAGGAACGCAAATCCAGGTGATGCAGGCATCACCCAAGAGCTCTTCTTTCTGGGGTACTTTCCGTGGCCTTCTTGACCCTCATTTGGGCTCTGGGGCCGCAGAAGGGATGTTTGGGGGCGTTCCAACTGTCCAAGCAATACCTGGAGGGGCTCAGTCAAGCACACAGTACAGGCTGGGAGCTGGGAGCCAGGGCCTCAGCTCCACCGCACGCTGGCTTCCTGGCCCTGAGAGGGCCCAGCTTCCCCAGCCTCCACCTGCCTCCCACATAATCCAGGGCCCAGTGTTGAGAGCAGACTCTGGAGCTGGTGGCCTGGATATAAACACAGCTCTGCCCTTTCCTAAAGGCAACACTGGGCAGGTCTGGGATACAACAAACACAGAATGGCACCTGGCACAGAAGAAGTGCCACAAAGGGCTGTGAGGACTCACCCTGGCAGCCCACCAGTGTCTGCTCAGTGCCTTCTAAGAGTCAAGCCTTGGCCCGAACACTGAGGAGGCGGTGGAGAAGGTCTGAAAGGACAGTAGCTCCCCCTTAACTGTGTTTCTGCTTTCCACAGTCTCACCTGCAGTTAGTGGTGATCCAAAACTACTGAGTGGAAAATTCAAGAAACAACTTGTAGGTTTTTTAAGCTTCACATCGCTCTTGGGGTTGTGATGAAATGTTGTGTCATCCTGCTCTGTCTTCATACTATTAGTTGCTGATCTCTTACTATGTCTAATTTGTAAGTCTAACCTTATCACAGTGTGTGTTTGACTGAAAATACAGTATACGCAGGGCTGAGTGCTATTCAATGCCAAGCATCACTGGGGCTGGGAACACATCCCCCTTGGGTGAGGTGGGACTACACAACAGAGCAAGGGCCAGAGGTAGACAGGGAGGCTCTTTGAGGAGGGGGCGCTAAACCCGAGCAGGACCTGAGACACCACTGGAACACGGACCCATTCTCGATGCCTGCAGCAGGCATCTACCTGGCTGTGAGACAGCATCAGTGAGAGAAGGATGGAGCCAACTGCAGAGACGGCTGGGGAAGGAAAGGATCCAGGCAGAAGGAGCAGCAGGGCAAAGGCCCCAGGGCAGGAAGAAGTCTGGTGTGTCTGTAGATGACACAGAGAGTGCCGTATCACTGGGGCCAGCCCAAGAGTGGGGAGGATGAGGGCAGGACAGGCGCAGACTGGGACAGTAGGCAGTGGGCTCTGTGGGCTACCTAAGTTAGGAATCTGGGTCTTGATCCTTAACACCCTATGAGAGCTAAAGGGTTACAGAGGTGGCAACAGCACTGATTTCCACTTGAAGGCAGTGGCTGCAGAGTGGGGCCACATCCTCCCGTGAGGGGTGCCAGCTGCACAGGAGGCGAGTGAGAAAAACACGCAGCATCCTCGGGTGCCAACAGACTCCATGCTGAAGGCCTTGGAAGCTTCTGCCACTCCTTCCCTCATCCTTACAACAGCTGGGAGCTGAGCCCTATAAAGGGACAGGGCAGGCAGCCACTCTGCTCGAGCCAGGGCTCACCCCAGGGCTGCCCACCGGCAGGACCCGACATGCCTGCAGGGAACTTTCAGTGAGGGGCGGGACTGGGCTCTCCCTGACACATGGCCCCGCAACCCAGAGGGGTGATTATGGCTGGAAGAATCTGGGGTCCCTCTCTGCTCACACAGCTTCAGCCTGTGGGATAAAATAAATTACCAGACCTGTAACTCTTAGGTTGGGATCTGCCTCATAAATAATTGGTTTTAATTGTTCATTTATTCATCCAACAAACATTCACTGACCACCTATTTATGTGTCAGGCACAAACAAAATAAATATAAAATACTACACTTGCTAAGAAGAAAATAAAGCTGGGTAAGGGTGGAGAGACATGGTGGGAAAAGGGGTCCAAGGCAAAGGGAACAGGAAATGCTAACGCCGAGGCAGGAGTGGGTTCAGCAACTGTAAAGGGGCAGGACTTGAAAGACATGGCACATAGCCTGGAGTTTACTCCAAGTGTGACCAAAAGTCACTGAGAGTTCTGAGCAAAGAAATTCCAACAAGAAGATCACACTAAGCTGATACACCACTGAGCATTCCTGTCAAAACTACAGGTCTTCAAACTTTCTCTGTAAAGGGCCAACAGCAAACATTCAGGCTTTATGAGCCACAGTTTCTGCTACAACTATTACAGCAGGACAAAGCAGCCTGTGACAACTCTTAATAAATGGACATGGTCGTTTTGCAACAGAAGTACCAAATCAGAGGCAGGGTTGCATTTTGCCAACCCTGCTGCACACTGAACCTCTGGTTTACAGGAAAGATAGGCACAAGGCAACACAGTAACTAACGATGTCAAACCGCAGTAAGAGGATATTCAGCATGTGAGACAGCCTGCACATCAACTGGACTGGCTTGTCAAAAATATCAATGTCTGAGCAGGAAGAAAGATAAAGGGCAAAATTAGATTAAAATAGGTGGGGCTGGCTGTGGTGGTTCATGTTTGTAATCTCCGAACTTGGGAGGCTGAGGCAGGAAGATTGCTATGAGTTTGAGACCAGCCTGGGCTACAGTGAGTTCAAGACCAGCCTGAACTGCATAACAGTTTTTTGTCTCAAAACAAAAAAAACAGGCTGAAGAGTCAACACGTACTTTGAACGACTCCTAATTTCAAAATCAACCCATTTTGAGGCCATGCATGGTGGCACATGCCTCTAATCCCAGCATTTGGGAGGCAGAGGTAAGAGGATCACAAATTCAAGGTCAGCCTGGGCACATTAATGACTTAGCAAGACCCTGTCTCAAAATAAAAAAGGGTCTAGGAATGTAGATCAATAAAAGGCTTGGGGGTTCAAACTCCAGTACAGAAAAAAACCAAAACAGAAAACCATTTTGAAGATAACTTGGGAAATCCAAGTATGGCACAAGTAGAGAGGAAATACATATTTGGATACACATCCCTTGCTCAAATGCTTGAGACTGGGCATATTTCCAATCTCTGAGATTTTGGTTTTCAGGATGTATACAAAGACTTTACCATATGGTCGAGCACCTCTAGTCCAAACATTTGAACTGTTTCAAAGCGACTCTCAAAGTTTCATGTTCTGGAGCATCTCAGATTAGGGATGCTCAACCTGTATCTCGGGGGTGAGGCAGGAGAAAATCCTTATTCATAGCAGATGCCTACTAAGGTAGTAAGGAGTATGAACAGACAGTCAAGATTCAGCACAAAAGAATAAAAATGCAAACAACAAAAGTTCCAGCGTAGAACAGCCAGACGAGGATGGCGAAGGCTAACCTGCGGAACAGAGGTGCAGGGTACCTGCAGGCCCCCGTGTTACACCCTTTCCTTTAACTTTTCTACATCTGAAACAAGTGCCAGTGGGGTAGGGGCAGGAAGGGTTGCCGGGGAGGCAACCAGCAGCACAGCAAGGCAGGCGTTCACGCATCTAGGCGGTGTCCACCCACAGCACGTCTCCTGCCAGCCCTGCCGCCCCATCTCTCCCCAGACTCGGGGCAGCCAGGGACCTCCGGCCCCGGTGGGGTTCGCTGGGCAGCAAGGACAGCATCAGCCAGCTGTGAGCTGGGTGGAGAGGCCTCCCTTTGCTGGATTCCTGGCTTGTACCTGCTCAGGGCTAGGATCAGAAATCCGAGGTTTGCTGTCTCTGGGGCTGACCCAGTGGTTTTTTCTCCAGAGGACAGCAAAAGGTACCAAGAAAAGGAAAAAGGCAGGCGGACATTGTAGCCTCACAGTCTCAGTAACAGAAGCTTCCCCATACTGAATGGTACCAGCTGCGCAAAAATGGAAAGTAGACCATCTCTCTTGCCTACTAAACCACTCTGGCGGCTCCCCACTGCTCCTTTTCCAGGCTTGTAAACCATGTGCCAGGTTTGCTAAATCAAGGGCTTCCTGTTTATCATCCCCCTGAATCTCTTACCAACCCTGGGATAAATCCCAGTTTATTAAGTGCCTGCCAAGCCCTGCGGGGATCTCCATCTGGGGGCCAAAAACCTTGGCTGGGCTCTCCAGTCTGAAGCGCCTCCATTTCCCCTCTTCCAAGACTCCTGCCCCTTGATTCTCCGGTGACGCAGAACCCTCTGCGGTCCCGGTAACACACACACACTGTTCCGCCTCCAAGCCTCCCGTAGCTGCTTAGTCCTTTTTATTGAGCCATGGCCAACTCCCATCCATCCTTCAAAACTCATTCCAACTCCCACGTCCTAGACACTTAGCAGTCTAGAGGTGCTTTCTCAGGTAACCCACGTTTCAGTCCCCAGGAGTCAACTGACACCTCAGCTGGCCCAAGATGGTAATTTTGTTCCCCCTGGTGGGGCAAGTGTATAGACTGAGGTAGTATCTCGTGATACAGCGCTGTACAGGCTAGAACTGCACTGTCCAAGGGTAGCCACCAGCCACATGCATGGCGAATGAAACTGAATAAAATCAAAATTCGGTCCTCCAGTCACCCTATTCCGAATGCTCAACCGGCACATGCAACACCTAGACAATGCAGACCTAGAACATTCCCCGTATGGCAGGGGTTGTCTTGGAGGGTCCTGTTTCAGGCTTTTCCAGAGGTTCGGCTGAACCCCTACCCTACCAAAGAGCTTAGGGAGGCCCAAATAGATACAGTGGGAGGAAAAAATTTGCCACCCATTACAAAGGGTCAAGTTCAGATACAAATAAGAAAAAGACCAACTACCCAATAGAAAAAGAAGTAAACAATAGACACTTCAAGGGAAAAAGCACATGTGACCCTTGAGGGTCAAACTGTAATTTCTCCTGCTCAGACTGGCAAAAATCCAAATGCTTGAAAACACTGGGCTGTGGGGACAGTCACAGACACGCCCTGACAGAAACATCCCTCTAATTTATAAATGCGGATTCCTGTGATCAGCAACCCTACAGCTAGCTAAGAGTTCCTCATCCAGACACACCCAGGTACACAGGAATCAAGGAGCTCCACTGTCACTGCTCAGAATGAGCCAAAGGCAGGGAACCTCCTCGGTCACCATGAACAACTGCTAAGTAAACTGCGGGACACAAATGTCCAGCTGTTAAACAGTAAAACACTGTGGTGACAGCGCAGTCTCTGTACATGGAGGCAGAAAGACTCCCCAAGATCCACTGTGAAGTGAAAGAAGCAAGTTCAGAACAGCGTGGGTGCGACGTGACCTCGAGGATGCCAAGGACCCCATCTGCTCTTGGAGAACACAAAACACAGTGATTAACTGGGGAGGGAGGATGGACAGATGGGGAAAGACACGGCAGTGAAGGTCTGAGTCTTTTGTTCGCTCTAAGGAGCTGGGGGTGGGATCGAGGGCCTCACTTGCTAGGCAACTGCTCTCCCACTAAGCCACACCCCTAGCCATGGTTTGCCTTTTGAACCAGAAAAATTTCTACCATTTTTTCCAATTATTAAATGATCTTTTTTTTTTTTTTTTTTTTT